AGTGTGGAGATAAAGGTTTATATCTTTTTATATCATATATATATATATATATATACATCTGTTTATATCTTTTTCTTGGCTGGGGGCCTCAGACAGCTGTGCTCAGAGTAGTTTGCTTACACTACTACCAGCTCTTTGGTTTCATAAAGGAGAGCAGAGGGCTTGTACATTCAGGCACTGCTAGGACATTCAGCAAGGGGTGGTGTGCAGAGAAGAAAGCATCTAACATATGCAGCCTAAGAAACAATATCTCTCCTCAAGCGGAACTGCTGGTGAAGTCAGCCAGCACTGGCCGGCATGAACAATACTGGGCAGGTCATTAACTTGCCTGGTTCAGACGGCGATGAGCTCACCCACCTTTCTGGAAGTGCTATTTTAGCTGCTGAGTTTATACAAATAAAACCCATAATTTTCTAATGGCTAAACTAGGAATGTGTTAGAAAATAGCTAACTCTCTGAGAACCCTTCAGAAGCCACACAGGGAACTCACAAAGGTGTGTCTGCTGTTGTTCAAGTTTGCACACATCTTTATAATCGCTACATATGTATTACCCTGAAAATAAGCAACCACATAAGTAACGGCAATTTTTAAAAAATGTGGTTAATGCATTGTGTTTTCTCTCTCCCTTTCTTTTGCAGAGGAAAAAATAAGTTAGTTGTTAACTACACAAAGGAGTTAACATTTAACTTTGAATACTGAGAATGCTTTAGCTCTCAACCCCTCCCCCCTTTTATTATAGTGAAAATAGGTTCAGGAAAACTCTTACTAATTATCACAGATCCTAGATGAGATCTAGCTCTATTAGTTTCCTTGCTGTGCTCACAGGAGGCCCCTTCATACATATGCCATTCCAGGAGTTGGGAATCCCTGCCCACGACCTCTAATAACCCTACAATCCCCAACTCCCATCATTAAAGATCAGCTAACATGCTATTCCCTCCTTCAAACAAACCTTCCAGAGTCCTGCCTCCTATTCCAAGTTTCAGGTGCTTTATCCCTCCTCTAAAATCCCAGGTAATGTTATTTTTGCCTCTTTTATGTTATTGACCCTTTCTACTTTATATATTACCTGTACCATTATCTTATCTTTCCCTCTTATACTGGCAGGAAACTGGCAGGAACATTAGGATAGAAAACTTACCTTCTCTACCTTCACCCACAACCCCTCACCCCCAGATGACACCTTGCTCAGGGCAGACGCTAACTAAATGTAAATGGACAGATAATGTCCATACCTTTTATTGTAAATACTGAGCCACTTTCCACAGGTAGATGGGGAGAAAGGCTAAAAGGAGAAAAGTATTTTATTATTTAAAACAGGGAGATCACTGGGAGGCCCAGAGTGAGGGTGGAGAAGACCTCTTTTCTGTTGCCCCCACCTTCCTAGCCTGTCCTCCTCTTTCACACTCAACAGGCGGACTCTACACCTCATTACAGACACAGTTTCTCTCCAAGGACACAGCCCTTTCCAAACTGTTGGACTTGTCACCTTTTCTGTGAAGCCCTCCATGAAAACAGAAGTATAATAAACCTCTCTCTCTCCTCTCCCTCTTCTTAGCTATTCATAAATATCACAAAGAAGACACACAGGTTACCTAGATATTGACTTGGTGATCATACTTCCTCACCAAGAACTTATACTTTTAGTAATGTTTCTACTACTACTACAATAATAATAACACATCTGTACACTAAAAACAAAATGAAAGCTAACATTAGTTAGCTAATATAAACACGCCATTAGTGGAAGAGTCACTTGGTACCAGGATGCCTGGCTCTGTGCTTGGATTAACCAGTCAACTCACACAACAACCCTAATTATTACCATCCCATTCCACAGAGGAGACAACCTGAGGTTCCGGAAACAGTAATTTGATGAGTGAGGATTCAAACTCAGGTAGCCCTGCTCCAAAAATAGACAAAGATGTCCATGAGCTCATATATCCTTGACCATCACCCTCCACATGACAAGACAGATAGTATTGTTAATAAATGGGGAGAAGATAGGACAAATGGAAACTTGTTCTTCTCTCCCAAAGCTGGAACACTCACTCACTCACAGCTTCCCACATCTTGGTTTCCATATATAAGCAACAGTAAGGAACCATACTTTAATTTGTGCCCTGTGGGTGCCATAAATGGTGTCACACATGCCAAGTATAAGATGACACTATTCTAACCTTTACAACAGTAGTTAAATGTCCATTACATACCCCACTCACTTTCAGGAATTTTTGGTACATAAAATCAACTTCATTTCTTCAGTCACTCAGTCAGGGGTTAAATTGCATAGAAAGAGAAGGTAAAACAGATTAACAGAATTACAACACAAAATGACGTCTGTTAAAATAAGGTAAGATCCAAAAGCTGTTGGAACATTGAGAAGACAACAATGATGATGATGACAATGACAATATTTAGGAACACAACACAAAAGTAAGCATCTCCATGAATCTTACTATAGAAAGTACTGATTTTTCTACTGATTTATAGTCTTGTGTGCACAGTTCATCAGGATAAGTATTTGGGATATAAGAATATGATAGATATTTCCATGCACATGCGTACACACATACACACACCCTCACACAAAGGAGCATAAAGACAGTTACACCAAAAAGTAAATATGAGATGTGCCTTGAAGGGACAACCTCTTATGAAGTTCAATAGGGCTCCTTTCTACCAGAAATCTCAACCTTAAAAACAATATAAATGAAGCCTTCAAAGGGAATCTTTTCTAAAATTTTGCCTTAAAATTCCATCTTTCAAAACTGCACTGACCTAAAAGCAGAATCTAACCAGTCACCAACTGTGCCCAGACATGTGGCTGCTCTCTGCTTTCACGGTGAAATAAAAATAAGGTGAAAAGAATGTGGATGTATGGGTGACAGGGTAAGCAGTATGGAGATGAGAAGGGTCTATGCCTTCTGGAGCCAAGTCATAACACTGAGAGGCTAAGTTTGGTCTGTGGCTTTGTAGCTGTGTGAACTTGACCAAATCACTTAGATCAAACTTCCCACCAGGCATGGCTTAGTGAGAACATATAATGAACTATCTTGCTCCTGGCCTGGCACAAGCCAAATACTCAATAAGTATTCATTTCCCTTCCTACCCACTGATCACATTGAAAACCTTTCATCTCTCATAATCTAAAAGAATATCTTCAAACCAGAATAGATAATGAAATCATTTCTTTTTTTTTTCCATTTATTTTTATTAGTTGGAGGCTAATTACTTTACATCATTGCAGTGGTTTTTGTCATACATTGAAATGAATAGATAATGAAATCATTTCAAGAGTTTCCCTCATGAGAAAACGATGTATCCATGCTCCCACCATGCTTTGAATTCATAGATTTATATATCAAGAAGAACTAAGAGGTCATGTTTCCAATCTCCTTATTTTACAGGTGGTAAAACTCAAGTTCAGAGAGGTAAAGTGACTTGTCCCAGGTCACACAGCTATTTAATTGCAAAGTCAGGATAAAAATCCAAGTGATTAGTACCCAACCAATCCCACTTTCTACTTCATCCTACTACATTCATTGGACTTGCTTAACAGCACAAATACCTCTGAGGCAGTCAAAAATGTCTTTTGTTCTCAAAACGGAATGAAAATGGCAGAAGGAAGATTCCTCTTCCACCATGAGTGCTGAGTTTGGGACAGAGTGTTCATGAAGAGATGAAAAGCCAGAGGAGAAAAGGGGTAAGTACAAAGGAGAGAATAAAGAATGAAGAAGGACACAGAGACTCTCTATTTTACAACTGTGCCCCCAAATCAGTTCCATTTGAGCCCACAAATTTTAATCTAGCCAGATTCCCCTCCCTTTTATCTACAAGCCTAGAGGATACAACAGCCACCACTCTCCCAGATTAAATAAAATGTATGAATTTTCAGGATAAAAGGGTAATGAGATTGTTTACCTTCAATAGTTTAAAAAAGAGGTTCAGTTTGAGTTTGCTCAAATCACCTTAAACCTTGGGTGTCAGTAGAACCACTGCTGAACCACAGGTTTTAGTGGGACCAGTGTCTACTTATTTACCTGCCAAATATAAATTTGCCATGGAGCCAATGTTCAGGCTGCTTGGGGACAGCAAGCACCTTATTAAGGAAAAGGAAAAAAAAAAAACTAATTTTAGCATATCAAACTTGACATCATAATTTTTAAAAATATGCCCATCTCAAAGAACGTTTACAAGCAATGAGTGAGGCTATGAGATTATTTCCAGGTATAATAATAATTGCAGAAGACTATCCCATTAGCAGTTAAGCACTGAGGGAATTCCTTTGCATCGTGGCCTTACTGTCTTTGTTCTGAAGAAAAATTCTGCCTTCAGGAGTCTAAAATAATGAAAGAGTTCTTCATTATGTCAGTGAGAGTTTGGAGGGAGTCCCCATGGCACAGGGACCTTGCCTGGTAGTGAAGCGTTAAGAACTGTCTGTTTCTAGTTAAACTGGTTCATACCTTCCACAGCCAGGAGGAACACTGGCTGAGGCTGTGACCGAAGGAGACCCTTTGGAAAATAACAGAACCAGAGGCAATTTGGGTTCAGATCCTTAGTCCTCCTTGGGCCAAACTCTTATCTATAGGCCTTTCAAAAAAAAAAAAAGTAGAAATAGAAATCATCATATAAAATTAAGTTCTATTCAACAGATATTTACAGGAGGCCCCAGCTGACATGCGCTTGTACAACTGGAAACCAGAACTTGAAACCCTCCCAACCCCGTGTCTCACTTACTCAACCAAATAGTAAGACCATTTTTTCCCCATTGCCCTTCAAACCTTTATTAGTTGCTACTTCTGTAGCCAGTAAAAGCTCTGCTTCTTCCAACATCATTCAACTTAGAGTTGTGTGAACCTCAAGAAGGCAGAAAACAGTTTAATCAAAGGAAGAGTTTTCTAGAAAGCAGAAGTGACTTGGGAACACTTGGTAAGGCAGAGTTCTTTTCCCTGAAACAATACAAGGAAGGGTTGCCAGGATATTCCTGAGAATGTAGAAGGGAAAGGAATTGGAAGAGAACATTTCTAAGGTCATTCCCCACTGTACGTAACACCCCAAAAGACTTAAAAGTGTCAACTTTCATATTTTATGTAAATTATAAGAAATTTCAACACCTTCATTCAACGGCTTTTCTGTGAATGTGCTTCTTTCTACTCTGGGCTTCTACTATGTGATGCAAGGTAGGTAAATTAACTTCTCCAGGCCTCACATTATCATCACTTAAATGAAGGCAAGAGATTAAGTGATCTCACAAACCCCATCCAGCTCAAACATCTTCTGGTGAACGCTGACTTTACCCTCTCTCCTTTTTACCAAATTAAATTAGAAATTCTATATACCATAAAATCCTCTAAAAAACCATCATATAGGAAAAGAAAATACATGAAGGTGACAACACATAATATAAACATGACAAAAGCAACAGATTTCTTATATACTATCAACTATGAATTTCAAAACATAATGGAAGAAGTTTAATTAAAAAGTACCCAAGATTAGCATGTAATAGGAAAAGAATGACTTATTGTTCTGAAGACATGAAAAAAATCTATATACCCATTCTTAGGTGAGAAAACTAACTACAGTAAGTGTGCTGATTCTTCTAAACTATTTCATAGACTTAGTGCAGGGTTTCTCAGCCCCTGCTTAACGACAGTGTGGGCCTTATTATTGTGCCAAATAATTCTTTGGGCTTTTTTTTAAGGCAGGGAGGGAGACCATGTGCATTGGAGGATGTAGACCAGCATCTCTAATCTCTAACCATTGAATGCCAGCAGCACTCCCCCAAGCTGTTGATAATCAAACTAAATGCTACCCAGACACTGCCTTAGGGATACTAAGGGACAACAACGCTCAAGTGGGGAGCTGTTGATTTAATGCAAAGTCCTAATAGGACCTTCTCTATTTACTACCTGACAAGGGACTCCTAAGTCCATATGAAATAATAAACCATACTAACTGTCAAGATGGGTTTGGGTGGACTCCGGGAGTTGGTGATGGACAGGGTGGCCTGGAGTGCTGCCGTTCACAGGATCGGGATCGGAAAGGGGACACGACTGAGTGACTGAATTGAACTGAACTGAACTGAACAGTCAAGAAGTCTTTTAAAAAGAAGATAAATACATTATACAGTTCTGAAAGTAAAAAACTGAAATACAGAAGGAAGAGTAGTTAAACTGAACAAAGAATCAGACAGAAGAAAAAGATCATGACCTCAGTTAACTCAGATATATAACAACTAGCATATGATGCCATTACAAACGAGTAGGAAAAAAGGAGATCCTTCATTAAATAGTAGTGAAACAACTGTTCATTGCTTGGGAAAAAAATTTAAAGCTAACTCCATATTCACATTATATATGTTCCAATTATCTATTGCTATATAACAAAGTACCCCCAAAACTTAAGGTCTTTAAAGCAACAATTTATTAAATTGACTGGGTCAGCAAGGCACCAGTCACTTGGGGTCTCTCATGTACTGCAATCAGATGTCAACTAGAGCTGCATAGGCTTCTAAAGCAGTTCCCTCATATCCTAGCTGTCAGTGGAAACATCTAAACATGGCCTCTGCATATGGCTTGGGCTTCTCACAGCACGGAGGCTGACTTTTAGCACATTTAAATCCATGCCTACTACAGGCACAGCATTACTTATCCATATGTTGTTGGCCAAAGAAGTCTCAGGACTCACCCAAATTCAAAGGGGTGAAAAAAATAAAGTAAACTGGTAAATAAAGGAACTGGTAAAGGAACTGGTAATAAAGGAACTGATAAAGTCACACTAAAGAAAAGCACATGGAATGGGAAAGATGGCTTCAGTCATCATTTGAAAATATGATCAGCCATAACATACTGAAATAAATTCCAGGGAAATTAAGCATTAAGTATTATTAATAAATATTTATTAAAAGTAAAATATAAAATAGCTAAAATAAACTATATCTAAGATTTTTTTTAAATTTTAGGATGCAGAAGGCAAAGATAAATAGATATAACTACAAAAGTATTTTAGCTTAGAAAGTACCATAAACAAAATTGAAAAGCAAACGAATGATTAGGCAATTACCAGCATTCTATATAATAAAGCATTATGGACTTAATATGTAAAGAGGCCTTACAAATCAATAATAAAGACAAAAATTCCTATGGAATAAAATGTCAAAAGACATAAACAATTCACCAAAAAAGAATCCAGCAGATAAAACATAAAATAGACACTCTCAATGTTCTGCTAGCAGATTAAGTAGAAAGTATAAAATGTGATATAACCTGTCTGGGAACCAACTTGGTGTTACAGTCAAGGGTATTTAAAATGGTCATTAGACCCAATAATCTGCCATCATGTAAAAAGATATTTGTGATAATATAGCTTTAGCAAAAAAGAAACCAAACTTAAATATAGTATACTTCTCACACACATAAAAAAATATCCACTGTACTTTCAAAGAATACATGGGGAAAGTTCATAGCATAAGGCAGACAAAGAAAATGCAAGAAAACAAAACTTTGTTTAGATATTTATTACCACTATTATCTATCACAAGATATTCATACATATTTATCTCCTAAATATTAACAAAGGATACCTCTGTATCTGGAAAATACTGATACAAGTAGATGATTTTACATTGTTCTTTATCATTTTTTAGTATTTAAAATTTTTTCTACAGTAAACGTGTTTTTATACTGGGGGGGGTGGGAAGCTATTTAAAGAAAAAATACTAGTATTGATGGATGAAAAACTGAAAAGGTCACATGTTACTAAGCTATTGCCGAAAGACTAAAAACCCAGTAAAAAGTAGGAGAATAAACATGATTGTGCAGCCAGTGATATCAAGGACAATTACACCTGGAACCAGTGACCCATTACATGGCCCATTTAGTCTGCAATCAAATCATTTTCCCAAGCTTATGACCTGGCCATGACACAGATTCTCATGTAGTTGTTCAATGTGACTGCTCTATAAACTTTTCATTTTACCCTTTCAATATTCAATCCATTTGTTTTTTGGTTTTTTTTTTTTTTTTTGAGAGTGGATATCTGAAATATCTTCTTCAGAGCTTTATTCATTTCACCCCCATTAAAATGTACAATCAAATCATTTTCCCAAGCTTATGACCTGGCCATGACACAGATTCTCATGTAGTTGTTCAATGTGACTGCTCTATAAACTTTTCATTTTACCCTTTCAATATTCAATCCATTTGTTTTTTGGTTTTTTTTTTTTTTTTGCAGAGTGGATATCTGAAATATCTTCTTCAGAGCTTTATTCATTTCACCCCCATTAAAATGTACATATCCTTGTTAAGGACAACCCTTTAAGCTGCCAAGAGTCACTTACATCGAAGTATGCATAAATTTCAAACTCTTATCTAGTGAGGAGGGCCCAGGATGTCTTAGAGAAAGAATGAATATTTTTTAAGAAAAAAAAGGATATCAGATAGGAGTCTAGAGGGTATCTGAGACAAATTATATCCTCCCCTTACTGTGACTTCCCTGAAAGGTGTTCCTGAAATGTCCTTCCCTACCTTAATCTGCATGTAGTACTGCAATGGTTCTCAAAGTGCAGTGCCTGAGCCAATAGCATTAACATCACCTGGGGACTTGTTAGAAATGCTGATTCTAGGACCCACCCTGTAACAACTGAATCAGTAGGGTCAACCCACTGGCATTTTCACAGGCCCTTTCTGAAATGCTAATGCACATTCAAGTTCAAGAAGTGTTGCTCTAATGTCCATTAGAGTGCCTACCTCTCTATCATTCATATGCACTATTACCATGGGTCTTGATTTGTCAGACTCTTTTATTAGTATAATAATATCATTTTCAGAAAGGTGTATGAGGAAATCATAAGCTACTCATTGAGAGCTAAACTCTGTGATAATAAGGCAGAGAATAGGTGTCCATGGCTGAGTAGGTAGCCACTGGATAAAAAGAAAGATGGCCAGTGATAAAAGTCAATGTGAATGCTCTGTTAGGGTAAATAGTTTGCCTCCCAAATTGATGCAACTTGCAACAACCACCAAAGTCAGAGTGGTTTTGCTTTCTTTTTAAAATTGGAGCTCTCAACAGAGCATATCTTCACATACAGTTGAAAAAAGTCCAAAAGAATTCCTGTTGCACAATGAAATGTTCACCTCATGTTATTTAGTTTAGCATCCTTGGTCTTTCTTTGGAAGGGAAAGGGGAGGGAGGAAGATGCATATTTTTAGAACCAAGGAACAATTTATCATTCAATGAAACAGCACAGATAGAGGCTTAAATCAAGTGTGTGGAAATAATATGTTGTTATTACTAGTCTTAACTCTTCTAAATTATAACCTATAAACCCTGCAATGCTTGACTTAAATATCCCATCCACATTTGCAGGAAATCTAAATGGTTATTTCCTCTTTTATTGCATGCATTACAGAAGGATTTACTGTTGCTCCACAAAGCACATATGAGGAGCATGTTATCCAGGATGTCACTGTAACCAGGCACGATTGATAAGCACACAGCCCACATCACATATGTATTCTGGGAGCCTTTATGTGCAGTTAATTAGTTTAGCTATTGCTTTCATGGTTCATTTAGAAGCTTCATGCTTCATTAAATATCAATAAATTATATCCTCAAAAAACCTTTTCAGTAAAAATACGATTGTGTCTTCAAGTGATAATCTTGTTAATGGATGTATATATTGCAAGCATGTCTATCAGGAATGACAAAAAACTCTGAATTGCCATGGCTGCAGTATCCTGAGGAAACATGCAAATTGTATTCTATGGTTTAAAACACATGTCTCATCCACACATATATTCTTACAGTAGGAGAAAAAAATCTTTTTTAACTTTCCAAAAATGATGCTTCTTTTAAGTTTCTATTTTTATTTCATCAAGAATGCCTACTTAGGTTTCATAAGCTCCTTTTATCCATTACATCAATTTCAAGCTCTCTTTATTGGAAAGACAAGCTTTCAGCAACTTCTCATAGCATGAAAGAGAAGTTTTCAGGAAACATGTGTTCTTCACTTCCCTGATACGCGCGTCCAGAGAGGGCAAGGGTCATGATTACTGGGCTTATCCTGTCAGGTATTAAGTCAACTCTATCAGTGAATGATCTGGGCTGTTCACTGACTGTCAGGAGCAGGTGGGTCAATTGAGGAGGGTCTGGATGAGGAAAGAGGAGCTTCATCTAC